CACCAATATAGGTTTTCTCTAAATGAGTGTTTTCAGTTTGGCGCATGGCCATACGAGAATGAATTGCTTCCATCAGAAACTCTCAAGCAGTGCTGCAGAACTTATATAGATGTACTCTTATCTATGAAGCTATTACTGTTGTTGTATTTGTAGAGGTCCTTTCCCTAGTTTTCATCAGTGTTGGAATTGTCCTGTGATGCTCCTCCAGATAGATGAAATCACGATATAGGGAGCCCTAGTAAAACTCAAGCTACAATATGAATCCCAAGTTAACTTGAAATTGCAAGATGGCTTGGAATCAGCTTATGTGCTCTTTCTGATTTGTGGATTTGTGGCATTAAATAGTCCATTTGGCAGATTCTCTATTTTTCTCACAATACACATCTTTTAGTTAATATAATTTCTTTTCTTAATGAAATAGGAAAGTGGAACAGAGAAACCTGTTGTTGCATTTATAGCTGGACTTACTGCCCCACCGGGCCGCCGCATGGGTCATGCAGGAGGTTTGTTTAAAAATCCTCATCGTTTAGTGACCTAATTATTTGATCTGTTTTGTGATTTGCTTCATGTTTATAATATCAATTCTATTGTTAATACACAGTAAATGGGCATATGCAGTGATATTTTATCTGCATCATTCAGCTTTCCTGCGTCAATTCTTTGCTTACACAAGTAACATGGATTTATATTTTCACTGGTTTTTTTAGTTTCACCAGCGATATTTATATGTTCGAAATTGACCATTTCTAGAGCCATAGAGACATATTTCTCTTATTGTTCGTTTTGCAAAAGCATGTGATAGTCTAGTTGTTATCTAATGAATTTGACATCTCTAACTACTGTGATTTGGATTTCTAATGATACGATCTTCAGCTTTGTTTTCTTTCCTTTCTAAGTACGTCATGGTACCATATCCTTGAGATCGGCATTCTTTTTCATCGGCGGTGTCTAGCACTTGCTGTTAAGTTTGAAGATTCATAAGCTGAATTGATGCACAATCTTGATTTTTGCAAAAGAGATCTCAATATTCTTTTTGTAATGAACTTCTGGTCTCAGCAGTTGAACTTGTACTGAATGATGTTTGAAATTTTTAATTTATGTTCTGGTTTCTTGTAGCCATTGTATCAGGCGGAAAGGGCACTGCCCAGGACAAGATTAAAACCCTCAGAGAAGCAGGAGTCACAGTGGTCGAGTCTCCAGCTAAGATTGGCACAGCCATGTTTGATGTCTTCAAACGGCGCGGACTAGTACAGTAGCAGGTCTTTCAATATGGTTGGAAGGTTTTGCTACTCTGTGTTGTTTGAAGATGCAGGTCTAACTTCTCAAATTTTGTTTCATCCCGTTTTTCATTTCCTTCACGGATTGAAAATTTTCCCTCGATTTGAGGTTTAAAACTTTTGTAATAAAATGAACTCGATGCATGCTTGAGGTTCTTCTCCAACTAACACCTTGTTGAAGATGATGTTCTTACGTACTTATGTTTATTCTTACAAACCGTTCATCATTTGTTTGGGGGTTACTGAAACTTGCAAAATGTTTCGCTGTCATTTCTGATTGTTCTTGGTACACTTGCAGCTGTTGCTGCTGTTAGACAGATTAGTTGAATCGTTTCTGATTTGGTCCATTCATGTGTAATTTGTCTCTATTTATGGACAGCGAGGCTCAAAGTACTACAAAATCAATAAAGGCATTGACATTACCTGTTATCTTTTCTTGTGAAGTAATCTGGACCTCGTGGACATTCGCATCTTCAAGTAACAGGTGCTAAACCACCAATTTTGGGATATTTCGTTTAATCTTGTCAAGGGTTCGCTTGTTAGCCTCATGTGAATTTGATTAGTTGTTAAACTTATAGTAGTCCGCTCTTTGCACATCTGCAAAAGCGTTAGTTGATGTTCAGTCTCTGAGATTGGCGAGGTAAAACTATAGTAACTTTGGAATAAAGTTTCAGTGGCTCGTGGTGCTTTGCCTCCAATGTATAGTTTTTGTTGGCAGAGTCCGCATTTACTGTGACGTTTTTTATTTGCTTATGATGAGTAGGTGCTAGTTGACTTTTGTGCGTAGCAACTTTCTTCCTCTTTTGCTCAGGTGTTTGCGTGGGGAGGACGATGCTTACAGCTTTGTACCTGAAATTATACCTGCTTCATGTCTAGCTATGTTTTTGAATAAGTAAATGTTGGAGGACTGATTTGTGAAGGTATTTTTTTTAGGGTGTGAGAACATTTGCTGCTCAGCGAGTGGTCGATTATTTGAAGTGGAAGTTAGAAAAATTGAAAGTGGACTAATTCTTTAGTGATATGAAGGAAGCATGTATAAACTATTTGGCAATTGGATTTCAAGTTAAAAGTGTGATTAGTTGCGACTTGCGAGTACATTTGTATGACGTTTCTCTACTTATATTGCTTGATTTGATTTGGTGCAAGCTTGCTTGCGATCATCGGAGAACCTATTAGATTTTTGCTTTTTTTTTTCCCCTCCAAAATGATGACCCTGAATTCTCGACATCGTTGTTCTCTTTTTTCTTTTAAGACATGTAACTATCACCAACCAGTAATAAGATTAATTAAATATCATAGATATTACATGCCGCAGCTTTACATATTCTGCATCTGCCTGCAAAATTTTTTTTGGCAATTGTATTACTGAATACAAGGCAAAATAATTTTATTACTAAATTATGTATGTTTACTTGGAGTCCAGCTAATTTTTCTTTCTATTAATAACACTGACAAGCCCGGAAAGGAGCATCATGAAGGCAGGCTTGGGCAATATACAACAACAAAAACTTTTGTGTTGGTAAGTCTTTGAACTTTTTCTATTTTTTGGTGTATAAAGAATCTTATGGGGTGTGATATAACTAGTACCCGTATGCATCAAGTGTAAAGCACGGCCTCTGTATTTTTAAGCACGGCATTTTAAACTTGTTTCCCTCTAAGTTTTACTATATTTAATTTAATTATTGTATTTTTAAAATTAGAAATCATATCTACTTATTTATACTTAAAAAAAGAATCCAAATTTTAATACACTTGATTTAGAAATCATATCTACTCCTCTATATTCAAAAAAAGAATCCAAGTTTTAATACATTTGATTTGTTTTAGTATTTATGATACAATAAATTACTGTAGCATGAATGGTAACATCAAATACGGAGGAGCAGATTTAATTTATTGTTTATGCTACAGTATAATACGGTAGCATGAACAATACTTTGAGTGCAGATCATATTATAGTATTTACTATAGCATAAACAGTAATTCTTTAGATTTTTCTTCAAGTATAGAGGAGTAGATGTAAGAACATGTACTTGTATCGGCCACACTGTTGGGTTGGGACTGATGGTTTGCATTTGTACAAACCATGGCTAAGGATGTTAATCCTCATCCTTCTTCTCAATACACACACACACAACAACAACAACAACAACAAAACTCCATATAATCTGCTAACTTCTGTACGTTACTGAGACAAGTGTAGCAATTTAGATTTCAATCATTTGAACTTAGAGATTAGGCATAACATGAGGTTTTTCATAGAATATCACATTTGACATTAGGAGCCATCTATGCGTAAACTTGCAAATAATCAAATACTCAACGATTCCTTGTCAAGGGTGCATTCTTACCCAAAAAAAAAACTTCCCCCAGCGTTGCACAATATCACACTAGTAGAGGCTCGATTAACGGCCTTGAACGACCGCTGGAGAGGTCCATCGAATATGTAACAAGTGCTGAGAGAAGCGCACAGGATGCTGGAACGAGCCCCAAACCGTATCTGTTCACAGAAAAGCCGTGTCTCATGCTAAGAGGGCCAGTGCTACGATCAGGATCTGCGACAAAAAAACAATTGAGTTTGTCCGGTGGAGATGCGTTATTTCACATTCAGTTGGAACATAAAATTTTAAATTCTTAATAAACTTTTACAACTGGTTTGTAAAGTTATGACATGTTATGAGTTTAAGGAGCTTGAAACATCATACCTTGATACGATTCCAGAACGTACAAAGCAATCCCACATGATAATTTGTCCAGGAAACTCAATGACCCATAAACAAATGCACAGCCGTTCAAATCTTGACCAACCAAAATACTTTGCATGCTAATTCCAGTCACCTGCGACAAACTATATTATCAAACAATCGCCACCAAGATATTTATTATTTATTTCTTAGAAAACCAACAAGATATTTGCTAGGGCACAATATTGAAGTGGTCACCATGCAGTGCAAATTGTCAAGTTTCATAGCATCATACTTTTTGGTCCGGGATAAATAAGGTTAAGTTGTGTCTAAGAATGCATCAAGAGGACCTGAATTGCAAATACACTGATAATATTCAATAAGTGGGAAGAAGAAAATTTTCCTCAATGTAGTTCTACAAAAAATGACATACGAGCAAAGGAAATTCGGATATCAATACATGATTCTGGGATAATATCAAAACCTATACGAGTTTTTCTAAGGCATGGTGTGAGGCTGTGAGCCAAGGCCTACAAATTGCATTGACAATAAGACAGATACTTGGCAAGTTCTTCAACTTGCAATGACTGTACAAATGAATTGAACTAAGAGCATTAAAAATCAGAAATTGAATATAATGATGAGTGTTAGGATTAGAATTAAATAATTGGGTATTTGGGTATAGACCTGTATTGGGTTATAACCCATATCCACTACTGCGTTTATCTTTAAACTTTCTCATAGAATACAGTAATTGACTATTCTCCAATTCATAACGTGGTGATATCAGAGTGTTGTTATGAGACCCTAACCCTCATTTTTTTCATCCTAACCGTTCATCATCTAATCCTAACAATAAGAACACTAAAAATTTCATCAAACAAGATTCACAAGCTTACCATCATTAAAGCATTGGCAATGCCAATTGCTACTGATAGAATGTACATAAGGTTGTGCATGTTGCTTGGAAGAATAAAGACTCCCACGCCACAAAATATCCACACAATGGCTCCAGCTGTAAAGAAGATTTTAAGGCGCCAACCACTCCATCTCATCTCCTGCATGTAACTGTTGCTTATTATTTCAAAACAAGAGAGAACATTTTAGCAAGCCAAAGAAAGTTTGACATCTAGATTTCTGTAAAAGTCAAACCTGCAAAATTACAGATGTAATGAAGCTGCATATATAGATAATGCCAGGTACCTGCAAGGTCGATTAAATTATTGAAGTTATCACTAAAGAGTGTCTAAGAATAGTATATTTTGAATTGTATATAAGAATCCAGTACTCACCACTGCCTTGGAGGAGTGACTCATTTGCAGATCATCAATAACATAGAATGCAAGAAGTGCCTGATCAGTGACAAGTAACAGTGTGAGAGATTAATATTATGTCTATTCCTGTAACTATGTCTTTAGAGTATGCTATCGAAGCAAAAGTGCACTAGTCTTCATTGTGTTGAAATCTGATTTATCGTTTTAATTATATTTCAGTAAAATTAAGTCAGATATTTGACAATGTGGGAAAAACACACACACACACACACAAATTTGAGAAGGCATAACTATGATGCACGCTGATAAATAAAGATACTTATCAGAAGTTTTAAGGATGCATAAACGAGAAGACGTGGAAATCAAGTTAGATTTCATGGAAACAATAAAATCTCGTGACTGAAAAGTTAACCAGCAACCGTAGTTAGAGATACATGTGTACTTCAGTTCAATCACACAACAGCATTCAACTAAGATTTCTGGAACTGAAACAGTATACATTTTAAAGAATCATAAGGAATCAAGTTCTGACCTGTGAAACATTTGTTACTAATCGAATAAGCATGTATACAACAGCAACTTGATAGTACAAAATCTTTCTGAACCAGTGCGACCATGCTATCTTAGTCGGCCTTTCCAACTTCATTTGTAGTTTCAAGCTATATAAAAGCATAATATATAGAGGCACTTATAAGTAAAGATTGTCATTTAGCTTTAAATGTAATACAAGGTGCTATTTGTGAAAGCAGAAACATCATTAGCAGGGGAAAAAAAGAAAGAAACTATGCTAAATTAACATCCTAAATGAAACTTATTACATATAGCACCAATGAACATATAAATTATAAGAAATCACATGAGATGTTAACAAATGGAAAGTTAGAACTACAAGTTCACATGGATATTTATCTCACTCTGGCTCGTTGGTTCCAATCAGAAATATGCCCACAAAACAACACCCCACGAAAATGCAGAAGTATGCAATCCAGCGGTACTAATCAAATTAAAAATAGTATAAGAATCTGACCAGAACTAACAAGATGTACAGAGAATGAAGTTCCAATGCTAAATAAAAAAGTACCTGAGTTTTAATATCGGCAGATGCTTTCGCACCATAAATACTGAAAACAACCAATGCCACTGCATAAAGGCTAAGATTTGCTACCTACAACAAGAGCCAGAATCTCAAGAATTCTGAAGTAAGGAATTCCAGACATTTGAAATGACCAAACCCACAGAAATAAAGAACATGAAAACAACATCGAAGAGAGTATAACCATAGTGAAGGCATTTCGGCAGCTAGCAAGTGCAACTCTACTAGTTGGGTTCGGTGTGATGCAATTCACCATCGACCTTCAAATAAATAGTAAAGAACAAACATGTCACAGATTAGTATAAGGGAGCTTCACTAATGTCACAAAAACCACGGAGAATCTTGAAATTTCATTGGCTTACATATGTGAAACTTGGGTAGCAGCCCAGCCAATGTTAAAAATAGAAGCAAAGATGCTGTATCCAATAGTTTGCAATAATGAAGAACTAATTCCATATATTTTACATGGTAGGCAGCCACCAAAAACCGAAGAAAATGAGATTGCAACCAAAATGGATCCTCCAGCATGCCATAGTTTAAAATGTCCAAAGCGGTCAATCTGTCAAGAACTATGCCGGTGAGAGGGGAATGAATTCAAAAATGCAGCAGTACTGATGCTTAAAAACAGAAATAAATATCATTTTAGTCCCAACAAGCAGATACTTAGCCTAAGGTTGCCCTCCCCATTTAAAGGGTAGAATTGTTCCATGTATCATATTTGAACCATCTCCATTTATGCTAACACGTAATTTTATTCTTTTACTTGTTTCTTATGAGTAAAAAAGACATGCCCATTCCTTCTAAAAAAAATCATACTTTACATTCTTGGGTCTTTTGCAACAATGACAAACGAGTGAGCAGCAAATTGTGGGGTAATAGAAACCAAATGTACATCTCATGCAAGAAAATAGGTTAGCATCCTCATCAACAAGTGAACCACCATGAAATTTCAAATATTCGAAGGACAATCTGGATCATGGAGCTTGCATATTAGACATTTACATGAAAAAATTAATTGGTGTCTACCAGCTCTCCAGCAAATACTGTTGTAAATGCATCAGCGACTTGACCAGAAAGCATCACAATTGAAGCATCCCTGATAAATCAAATACAAAAAAGGAAAAATTCAATAAAAAACTCTACATTATATATGCTGTGACTATAATATCTGAAATGAAAAGCAGCCAAATACTCTTGAAGATCAAGAAATTATCACAACAACAAGGTCAATAGTGTAGTAGAATCATCTTTGGTTAAATGACCGGACTACATCTAAAGTTTTCATCATATTATTCCCAAGCAAAATCACCTCTCATTTCCCATGATTACATCCATTGTTTGTTCTATATTTTGTGGTATTACCACTTTCTCCTACCAATTCACTTAAATATAACTTTTAACATGTTGTTTACTGGCCAAAAAAGTGTAAGCATGGCTAGTCATATAGCCACCTTACCGATTTGCCTTTCAATTCTACAGTTGCATAATACCAAAGAAGCACTAACAAACTTCAAACGTATGGACATCCTCTTCCAACGGGAGAACAATGAAGCCATTATCTTCTGATATTCCATGTTTATGTACGAAATTGTTCCTTCATAATATTCTAAGTTCATATGTGAAATCGTCATTCCTTGGTATCACGCAGAATACCAAAAAACTACTTCCCTCCAACTTCCTCAGTGTTCTGTATCACATTCTCATTGGCTAAATAGCCATATTGGTATTTTAATTCCACCCCATTTATCAAGAATGTATTTTAATTAGGAAAACCTGCTTTAAAGCATTTTAATTGATTCAACTTACCAACAAGGCCCTTTTTTTCGTCGGCGACCAGTTTTCCGACGAGAGCTCGTCACGTGCGTGGTACGTGATGACTTAAACTGTTTTTTAGCTGCTTATGTGGCACAGATTTTCTGACGTGGTAGTGTTTAAAGGCGGGAATTAACCCTCTAAAAATCCCAATTCACCCAAAAAAGGACAGATTCGCCCCTTTTATTTTCAGAATTTGAACGCGAGAGAGAGGGAGATATAGAGAGTGAGAAATCGTGAAGGAGGCAGTTGAAGGAGATAGATTGCAGGGATTCCATGTGATGGTGTTCCTCAGTTGATGCAGAAGGTGATTTTCAAAGGACGACGACTTGGTACGGGTTGAAGCCGATGAGAAGGTTTGATTCTTTTTATACTTATGAGATCTTTTGGTGGTTTTGAAGAGGATAAGTTAATCATGTATTTAGTTTGAGTTAAATGAAAGATATGTTGTGCGCAGCGGAAATTTCGGCAGAGTTTCTGGTGCACAATAAGAGAGAAAGATCGATAAGAATTCTTGTTTCTCAAAGGGAACAAGAATCTGAAGCCTAATATCCCATCAAAGTGGGATATTAGCTCTTCCTCTCGTCAGCTCTAGAACTGCGCGTCGAGGGATCCTAAAAGCTATTACAATGGTCACAAACTCAAACAACCAATTTTACGTGGTTCGACAAAGAAAGAGAATATAAATAGGGTTTACAATCTCTCAAACTAAACCCTCAAACAATCTCTCAATCTCTCACAAAAGGGATACTAAAACCTAAAGGACGCTGCACAGAACTCCTCTTCAAAACAACCAAAAAAACAATCTGTTTTTCTCTCTCTGCTTTGCTTGCACGCCGCCCAAAAGGTTTTCTTTTCACCCTCAACTTGCACTGTTGCAGCCAACTTTCCTCCCTCTCTTTTCTTGCACCCCGAAACCCTAGGAGCTTAGGGTATTAATAGGCAGCTATCGGGTGGGCTTACACAAGAACGTGCTCATGATCAAAAAAGCAAATCGCGTGGCCCCCACAAATCAATTTCTTCACGCGGTTACAAGACTTTTGCCCAGCACATGGTGGTCCCCACTTACGTCACATCCACAAGATAAACCCAAAATTTGTTGCCTTTTGTTAGATTTGATAGAATTAGGGTTTTCAGAGTTGTCGCCGACGAGAAAAATGACCTTGTTGGTAAGTTGGATCAATTAAAATGCCTTAAAGCATGTTTGCCTAATTAAAATACCTTCTTGGTAAATAGGGTGGAATTAAAATACCAATATGGGTATTTAGCCCATTCTCATTAGATAACACAGATCCATCTGGTCTACTAAGTCAAATACAAAGAAATGGCCATTCTAATAAACTTCCAAACAGGTTTAATTAATTTATCATTTCTTTCTAAACCAGTTAGCGTGTCCGCTTCATTATACTTATCTGTATGTTTGTTAAGTTTACAATTATAGGTTGAAGTTCAGGAAACGCTTATACATGTCCATCCCCCAATCACAAATAAGTTAATCAGCATATTTGGACCCTGACCATTTAATAAACGAACAGTTCTTTTGTCAAATGATCTTGTTTCAAATTTCAACCTTAAAAGCAGGCGACGATAGCATCCATCACAGCAGGAAACAGAACGGTAAAGCATGTAAATAGGATCATAAAACAGAAAAGGATAAAAAAAAATTTGCAATGGAAAAATGGAACTTTTAATGAGAAATGTACCTTGGACTTAACCCTATGTCTGTCAAGAACACCAGCAAATACGTGAACCAACAAGCTGATGTAATATCATTCAGCATATGACCTACACCATAGTAGAGTACAGCTAGTCTTCCGAGGGGCACAGCGTTCAGGGCTTCATCTGATGACTCATTACCAGTTTCATCCACCATAGCTAGCAGCCTGCACTTTTTACGGCATCAAAGTTATCGAAATTGCCCGTTATTATACCGAAGTTGGATACAATCAAGAAATCTCACTATCGCTACAGAGTCTTCTAACATGCTAGCAATATGGTCAACTGTAAGAGAGGCAGAATCTCCAATAAACCTGATTAAAGTAAAATTAAATTAAGCAAAACCAAATAAATTCCTACTTATTCTTCTAAATCTTTTCCAGTCTAAAGTGAAGACGTGGGTACCCCAGTCTCATACACCCCAACCAAGTAAAACGCAGCCTACAATTGCTCCAGCAGCAGCTAGTTACTGGAACAAACTAAATAAACATAAACAAAACAAGAAGGCAAAGGAATCTCCTTTGCTCGCTCCCATTTCACTTTCCTTTTAGCCTCAAATCGAAGCTTCAACAAACAAAAGGGACACCCAGAAATAATATCAAATAATTATTAAAAAAAAAACCCTGAGCCATGAAAACTCTCTAACGCATCAAATTACCTATAAGGGGTGGGTATCCACCAAAATTTGAACAATTTGGCAAACAGCGGAATTCAATGAGCAACGTGTACAAAATCAGACAAAACCCATGAAAAGAAAGAGGCGATATTATTACCTTAAGCTAGCTTGGAGGGAGCCCAGAGCCCAGATAGATACAGTTGAGCTGAAAAGCTAAAGCCTGGAGAGAACGATTGAGTATAAACAAAGACAAGAAAATGAGAGAGAGAGGGACAGAGTTTATAGGGTCAAAATCAAATTTATGAAGAGAGAGGAATCGTCGGCGCCGCTTTGAATCGTGGCGTCAGTTTTTGATATTTTTGCAACCGTGAAGCAAGCGTACGTGGCCGCCGTTGATTGGGTTCGTAGCACGGAGCGGAGAGCGCCCATGGCCGTGTCAAACTGTGATATGACGCCAAAGTCTGCGGAGTCTTTTGACCTCGGAACTTGGATTACTCAACCGTGAAAGTGGCTGAGATTCCCCCGTGCTATGAGGTGGGGATCCTAATCTCATTGGACCGTATCCAAGGTTTCAAACCCGGAGGCAACGGTGGGCTCAAATAATGGATCAAATTGTCGTCGCTAGTCTTTATTTTCTTTTTCCTTTTTTTATTATTGGGAATAAAGTTTTAAATTAATATATTTTTCTACCACCAGGTTTTGCCATGAAATACTTGAGAGTACATAATTGAAGATTCATAAGAGACGGTGGGAGTACTATTATGATAATGATAATAGATACTGTAAAGATAAAATAAAATAAAATAATTTTAGATTTATTTATAATTTTAAAGAATTTATTTGACAAAATAATCATTTTAGAATAATTATAATAAATTATTTTGGTGAAAAATCATTTTTGAGTAATTATAATAAATTAATAGAATTTATTTGACAAAAGAATTATTTTAGAATAATTATAAATAATTTAAAAAGAATTTATTTTAGAATAAGTATCAATTTAGAATAATTTCAATAATTTAGGAAAGTTTTATAAAAGGAATTATTTTAGAACATTTATAAATAATTTTAAAAGATTTATTTTAGAAAATGGATTATTATGATTTTTTCATGATTTATGTTTCTTAAAATTAATTATGTGATATGCTATGATCTTGTTGTATATGATTAGTTGCGTTTATTACTCTATGTTACGTTTGAGAACAATTAGAAATTCATGACCAGTGTGGCATGGTGTGTCCTGTTTAAGACTTAGAAACCTGTGTGTATGTTGACTTAGAAAAACGAGAAGAGTTGGGATGGGGAAGTTAATGTTCATGTGATCGGATAAGACTGTTGATGTATCTTTCGGGCTCGCTCACGTGGTTGGTGTCGCCACCGGGGTTGGTTTGTAGGGCTAAAGTGAAGTGTGTATATCACTTTAGTCAGTGAAATCGTTTCGTCACCCGGGTTCTGCTTGAAGTTCGAACCAGGCAGAAAATGGTTTACGTGTAGTCCTCTAGGCCGCATGTGTAGTGGGATTGGATGCACGTAGGGGATTTGTGAACAGTCAGTATCCGATGACAGGAGCGTTGACTCTGTGTGAGATGTGACCAGTGACCTGTTATAGAATGGCTAGTTACATGACCTTGTTTCTTGGCTAGATATGATTTCTTGTGAGATACGGACCAGTTATATTTCTTTTCATACATAGATCGGGATTAATATTTAATTATCTACAATTTGAGACATATGGTATATACATGAGGGTTTCCTTGTTTGGATTATTTTGCTCGACGTACTACGTCTCAAGTTATAGGTATTTAAGTATTAATTCCATCTAGTCGTGTGATTTGGATACTTGGATGATTAGACTGATCGTTAGCTGCATGATCTCGTTACCTGATCGATTTTGGATGATTTATGTTTATCATGTTTTGGTAGTGGATTGCATGTTGATTTTGTTGGATTACCAGTTGCACGTTCTTTTGTCATTTCGGTTATCGTATCATTTTCCGCTTGGGTTTTCGTTCGTTCTTTTCTTTTGTGGGGTCTTGCCGTGTGCCATGCACCCTGACGTTCGTTCTTTTCTTTTGTGGGGTCTTGCCGTGTGCCATGCACCCTGACGTACACCTGTTTTCTCTGGTATAATTGAGGGTATAATTGATGAAGTTGTGAGATTCTTGAAAGATACTTGCATTCAAGTGAATTCAATAGAAAGCTGTATATTTATAGTGAAAGACCCGGTAAAATTGAGAATCACCCTGATGAGGACATCCAGGCACGTGCACGGGACTTTCGCCGTGTTTATCAGCGTAGGAGACGCCGTATTCCAGCCGCACATCAGATCGCAGGGATATGGTTTTGACAGTTTAGAAATTTCAGTTATTTTTCAGTTAGTAGTGATTTCAGATTAGAGTTGTTATTAGTTATTTAGTTGTTATTGGATAAGATTGAGAGAGATTAGATTGAGCTTTTAAATTCTGTAATAATCTATATATAAACATGATTTGTAATCAGAGTTAGAATCAATGAAAATTATTGAGATTTAGTTGAAATTACCTGTGGCTTGAACGTGTGAAACGTGGGTGTGAAACCCTAGATCTCTGTTCCTCTTCCTGCCCAAGCCGCCGCCGCCGCGCGTCCCAGACTCGCCCGTCGTCACCCTACCCGACGAAGATCGCTGCCGTTCCTCATCCTCGAGCCGCCAGCGCAAGCTTCTCCTCCGATCGGAGTTGAACCGAACAGGTTTTTGGGCCTAGGTCTTTGAACAGACCCGATCACTATATATATTTTGGATCTGGTCTACTTTGGTTCATTGAGTTTGGTTCAGTTTGGTTCAGTGTGATTTAAGCTTTGAATCGTGATCCATTAGTGTATGGCTGACCCTGACGCTGAAGACAACGACCTTGTGCTTGATCCAGAGACTGGTATTGTTGATTTGCAGCTTTCCTCGTGGTTCGATTACCGGACGTCCGAGAGTGTTCCTGAATACGTCGAACGCGTGACTCATCAGCTTGTAGACAGTGTGGAGAGCAGTTTGGGCATTAGTTCTTGGCACCGACGTTTTCATCCAGATACGCCGCTTCATCCCAATTACGCAGCTCTTGGAGGAGAACTCCCGCCACTCACGTTTGGAGTTTTTACCGCGCCTCCAGAGGATCCTCCCGTCGAACCAGTCCAACCCGACGAAGGTTTAATTTTCTTACGCCCAAGTATTTTCGGAATTGCTATTGCGTGCATGTTATTCTCAATCTTAGTATCAATTGCGATTATGCTGTATCAGTTTGAATAGTGAGCGAGTGATTCTGTTGCTGAGTATTTCTGCTTATCTAAATATTATAAATTGAACTGTATTAAGAGAACAAATTATTACATTAATTATCAGAATAATTTTACAAAGGTTCAAACTTAGGACATTGTAACTTTTGCTAAAAAAAACCATCGTTCGCTTCATTTTATTCTTGAGCTTCCTGCCTAGATTGATCGCTGATTTGGTGAAGCATCGCTTCATTTTATTCTTGAGCTTCCTGCCTAGATTGATCGCTGATTTGGTGAAGCATTGTTGTCGCTGATCTTGCACCTGCATTCACATTGTTTCACTTGATCGCTGATTTGGTGAAGCATTGTTGTCGCTGATCTTGCACCTGCATTCACATTGTTTCACATCACACCCACTTACAGTAAATGCCAACTTTGTTTAGCTAGTAAAGAACTATTAAAAGCCCTTAGGTCTCAGAAACCCAACCCGCCATTATTATTAGAAGAACAAAGACTATCCTATGATAATTAGTGTAGTCTTTTCTCATTTGCCTTCTGATCCCACCAAAAGCCTCAAATCAATTTCTAGATATCCTCACAAAACGAATTCGGTAATAGAAAAACACTCATAGTACATATCAAAATTGCCTGCGCCATGCATTTGATAAGAATTCATTGCCCTCTCTTGACAAGCATTTCTCCCTTCAATTTCTCTCTCACTATCTTTAAAATAGACCTGAACATCTTGTTTTAAGAGTGCCCAATCGTTGCGGGTAACCCCAAATACTTGTCAAGCCAAACTGAATTGTGAACCCCATCTTTAGAAAGCTGTGCATGCTGCTTGGAGCTGCCTAGATTTTGTATTCAAGTGGGATTGATGTGTCTAACAGAACTATGACCGGTAGCATTTTCAACAAGTTTTAACTTTGCTTAGCTTTCCATATAAAACAAGGTTAAATTTCAATTCAAGGGCGCAGAGGTTTTATAAATATCATAAATTACAAGAGTATGGAGAAATGTCTACACTACCATGAGAATTTTGTACCACAAAATACTAGAGAAGCTGTTGAACACTGCCCCCTCTTGCAAAGTATTGAACAGAATGGATATGTGCTGGCTAGCATGAGATGGCAAATTTATGTATAAAACACTCAATGGCAAACTACTTGCTGATAATATTATCGCAAATAATGTCGAGCACTCAACAAGAGAAAGGAGGTGAGTAGTGTTGCGAGCATCATCAAGAAGAGTTTAACTCATAAAGAGTGTCTTATTTGGGATTCAAGCTTATTGGTCGGCAATTTTTTTTTCTTAAACAAGTTTCACAAGGAGTTGATTGTATTTGTAGAGATGCCTATTTGAGGTAATACTGAAAATAGGAAACTTGTGTAATACTGAAATTTAAGTAGACTGCATAAAAATCCCTAGTTTCTATCACATTCACACTTACGCAATACCCCTTAGTGCTGTTGTCCGGGTATATATACTCTCCGGTGATCTTATCTACTGATGACGAGTGAGTATCCAAATATAGTTTCAATATAGTAGGTGTGCCACCATCCTCAATGATTTGACTTTTCTGTAATTCACCAAAAATATGTTGTATAATCGATCAAATCATTAAGAATTATATAATCTGAATTTTAAATAGTTTTAAGAAGCAAAATTACCAATCGATTCATAGCCCGACACATGTTCCTCAAGCCACCTGTATAGGTTGCTCTACCATGGAAATTTAACGCCCGATTTTGCGCATTACGTCTCGCCTCCTCCTGCATGTTATTGTTATATTTAGATTTGTAATCAAACAAAAGCAAAATTAATTACCTACTAAACAATTGATTTAGTTCAAACTATACACATTCTTGTCCTCTGAATCATAATAAGCGCACAATTTAGCCCATGAGTCTCTATCAACCATAGAAAACGTTGGAGTAACAAAGAGAGCCTCCCTCTCTGCTTCGGGAGTATTTTTTCACACCTCATAACACTCTTGTTTTACCTGATACCTATTATACCGGACCCTCTCTAAAAACACAAGCATAATGCATAAGTTCTTTATGACTGCATACCAAGCATGTGCTTTCTTCTAATGTTGTGCATTTAACTTGATTAATTAACATATACTCACTGAAAATGTTCAAGCCAAAACTTTCAGCTTCAAACTGATTCATTTTATGTGGATCCACTCTAAAAAAAGGAAGACACACAAAAACAAACTCATTCAATAAAACTTGGTACATAAATCCTTTACCAGATTAATCTGGGTTATTCAATAAAACTCGTTACATAAATCCTTTACCAGATTAAGCTCACAGAGGCTTATTATTTTCTAATTTTGATCGAGACTCACATATATCTAGCCTCAACGTATTAAATTTAGAACACTTAATACACTAAAAATATACTGACTTGACGATTGTCCAGAAGGTATGGAGTGTGAAGTAGGGGTCGTCTGTAAATCATTTTCTTCTGTAGGCGCTTGTCGATTTGCTAATCAAGGTAAAATGGTTCTATTACATAGCAGGAGTGGCACAATTGTTATAATAAACATAATGAAATAAAGAAATATAAGGAGTAAAGATTAGGTGTCATGTTAAAACAGAATCAAAAGAAAATTAAATAGTTACCTCTGACTGGAGTAAACTCCTCAATGCTAGGTACGGATGTAGCAACATGAGTAGATTCGAGATCGCTCCTACGCTCTCTCGCCTGACGATGCATGTCTCCGCGTTGTATAAATCTATGTGATTTGCTCCATAATGGAACTCCAGACATCTTCGTCAAGCCCTAGAAAGAATTTTACAATTCATGTAAGATATATGCGACATAGACATATTTATAAATTTGAAGATATAAATTTTAAAGAACATGAATTTTAATAATGGTTACCTTTTTTGCTTTACAAAAGTGTTAGGCTCTACAGATTCCCTAGAAGTTGTAGGTACATCTACAAATATTTTACTATTCAAATCATTCCTAACCCATGAAACTTTATCAGATTCAGGAGACTTATCTTGATATACAACTCATCCCCGCTCAAATTCTTCGCCATCATTGATCTCTACAACCTCCGAATCTAAGAATTATGGGACATCGTAAGTATGACTGGGCCTCCATCGACATACAACACTTCACCCTGAATGCCTCAAGCACTTCAAGTAGTATACTTGAAATGCTTGTTCTGTAAATATAAATGGATCGTCCTCAAAGAAAAAACGTGTGATGTTTACACTTGTCAATCCATATTCATCTACCCAAGTCCCGTAATTATCTCTCCACTTATCAGTTTCAGTCTTCATATCATACCAAACACACTGAAAGACATAAATGCATCCTGCTTATCCTGGATAGTTGATACCAAGTATGTTATCAAGGTACCCATAGTATGTCTCGTCATTAGTACCTAGGGTTACAATTCTACTATTTTGGGTGGTTCAAGATTCTTCTATAGACTTGATTTCAAACTTGAAATCGCCAACACCGAATCCTTTATAGTATTTAACTTCAACATCCGGAAGTGTAGCCAAATATCCAAGTTCCTTATCTAATATTGATTCTACACCTGGTAATCGGCTCTGACAAAAAGGTTAATACAGCAATTACATAAAGATGATAGATTAAATTAATAGAATGAGTCAAAAAATGAGAGAATAGAAATCTTACATAATGTTTAAACCAATTGCAAAACTTGTCCTGATGATGTGTTTCAACACGTGACTCATTCCAATTACTATGTGTTGCACGTATTTCATCCTTGTATATTCTAATGTCAAAATGAGTAGTTAATGTGAGAAGTATATTATGTCATATAAACATATATAATTATGCGAAATAGACATACTCTCTAACTTCTCCATGGCATTCGATATTGAGAAGGATAAAACGATGAATATTATTGATAAATGCGGGCGTCATTCAATTGTAATCCGGCTTTTTAGATGGTCTGTCATGAATCACAAGAGGTCTGTTGAGTTTATCCAGATAACAAGAACAAAAAGTGGTTACTTCCTCTAGCAGATAACCTTCCATAATAGAACCCTCTGGTCAATTTCTATTGCGAATATAATTTTTCAGAGTGAGAATGTACATACAAAAGTTTACACTATATCACCACATCCAAGCTATAAAATAAAAATATATCGATTACATTAACTGAAAAACTAAATGTACCTTTCGATGGGGTACATCCATCGATATTGTATGGGTCCGGCAAGCCTAGCCTCGGTTGCAAGATGAACAATCAGGTGTATAATGATGTCAAAGAATGGTGGAAAAATCCGCTCAAGCTTGCACAAAATTAAGAGAATTTCAGCCTCTAGCTTGTTTAACTTATTATCCTTAATGTTTTTAGCGCACAATTCCCTATAGAATCTGCAAAGATCGTTGATCACTAAACCGACTGATTTAGGAAGGGAAGTCCTGTGAGAAAGTGGACGAAGATGATTCATAATAATATGGTGATCATGACTCTTCAACCCTTCGATCTTGCCTTTAACAATCTTTATCTTCTTACTAAATGATCCTGAAAACCCGTAGGAACCTTCAACTCATGTAACACCTGAAGAAATTTTTTATTTCATGTGGTGACATGTAATACACACTATTGGGGAGTACAAATTGGTCTGGATTGCTTGCCTTTGGTATAAGATGCAACTCTTTTCTAATGTTCCACGCCTAGAAATCCCTTCGAGCTTTGAGGTTATCTTTTGATTTTTCATCTTTACAGAGAGGTTACCAATGTGCTCAAATACTCCCTTCTCAATGTGCATGACGTCTAGATTGTGTCGCACTTTATTTGTCTTCAAGTATGGTAGTTCGAGAAGATACTTTTCTTGTTCCATCCCTGTAGTGTTTCTTGTCTTCCCTTAACTTTTCCAAAAGTCACGTTGTTTCTACCATTCCACTGAGCAAATATATCCTCTCCGGATAATGGATCTATACACGGGCGATTCTCTTTAGTACCATCAAAGTAGATGATGTCATCTCTATACGGATGATTTTCATCCAACATGCGTCGATGGCTGTAATAACAAGTATTATTGCTAAAGGATAGCCTTCTCGATATTGTCTGGAGATGATAGTAAGGACATGTAGTGTAACCATGTATAGACCAACCAGATAGCATTTCATACGCAAGAAAATCGTTGATTGTCCACATTAAGGATGCACGCATGGTAAAGTTTGGCCCCGTGTCCGCATCGTATGTCTCCACACCATCGATGAATAAAGACCTTAACTCTTCGATAAGAGGTCGAAGATAGACGTCAATATTGTTTCCCGATGACTTAGGACTATTAATAAAAAGAGACATCATAAAATATGATTGGTCCATAGCCAACCATGGTGAGAGGTTATAAACCTTCATCACAACGGGCCATGTGCTGTGGGGATTGCCCTTAAAGCTGAAGGGGCAAAAGCCATCACTAGCCAATCCCAGCTTGATATCGCGGGGCTCCTGACTAAATGTTATGTGTCTATTGTCAAAATCCTTCCATGCAGGCGTATCTCTAGGATGACTCATTCGTCCATTTTCACTTGGATGTGCACGGTGATGCCAGGTCATCGCCACTGCTGTCTTCTTACACTTGAATAGCTTATGTAGCCTCTGTGTTATGGGAAAGTATCGTTCTATCTTGATAGGTATATCTTTCTTCTGACCATGTACTTTCTTCTTATATCTAGCCTCTCCGTAAATAGGACACTCCATCTTATCTTAATTTTCTTTCCAGTAAATTATATAATCATTGGGACACGCATGTATCATCTCACACTTAATACCCAAATTAGACATTATCTTTTGAGATTCGCACCAGCTCCTATCCAGAGTAGCTTACATTCCTAAAGAACATCTGATCATAACCAGGGCAAAAGTTAAAAGTCATTCCATCAACTGCCATACCTAGTACAGTAAATGCTAGCAAGAACTTATACCATTCCATCATCCCAAATAGTTTAAGGGGATAGATTACTGACTAAAACAACAGGGCAATCTACATCATTGTCATGGTTTTTTAGTGAAAGTCATTGAAAGATAATATCTGAGGCCAGATTTTTTTAGTGTAAGAAATTACAATAGCTGTTTTGACTTCGACGATTCAAGCATCGAATTTATCGCCACGAGCTGAAGCAATTACAATAGCCATAACGGAGGTGGGTGGGGAAAATGAGTTTGATGTATCAATAGCCCAAAATGACAAATGCAACCAACTGACAGAAATGCTACGAAAACTACATTGTTTTCTATATGGACTGAATTGTGCCTATAACAATAGAGATTTTGAACTAAATCTAACGGAAAGAATTGAGTTATGAAATTATTATAGGTATGGCTTTGGCTCTAACGGTGACTGTGACAGACTCAACGAGGCACTCAGATAGGATAGAGAGTTTCATATCTAGCTCAATTATCGTCACGCATCAAATTTGACATATCACAGGTTTAGCTAAATTATTTGCAATACACAAAATTTTGGAAATCTGATTATCAATAAATTCACACAACTAGCAAGTATATAGTAGCTAGGTTCATGTTAAATATAATTAGGATAATAGACTAATAAAATGAATCGTTGACAAAATACTGCCTGCAAAAAAAATATTGTCTATTAATCCTCAAGCTTAATAGTGCAGTATCAAAATAAACAACATTTTATGTAAATCAAATGAAAAAGAGAAAATACACATACTTAACAACTGAATAAGCTGGATTATTCTGCAATGGATTCGGATAAGTCTGTGTAAAAAAGACACCAGATTGATTAAAAACTCGTGCAATAAATGTGAATCGATTCGAATTCTATAAATCGAATAAAGCAAAAATCTTCTATTCGTCAACAAGAAAATATTCTAATCAATTACCATTAGAAGCTAATTTCCAACTCATATCCAGTGCTTGAAATCAGAGGAGCAGCGATGGAATTTTGAGGGGGGCTCCGATAATGGGTAAGAGGTTTTTATCTTTTTCTTCGTTGTTGTGTATTCTGAAGGAGATTAACCCTCCTTTTATAGGGGCTAAGCCCACTATCTCCACCCCCCTCAAATCCGCCCCATGAGAGATTTCCTCTCAACAAACCATTCCACGTTCCCACGTTTCTCTCAACAGAGAAACAAACGTTGATTTGGTCACCATGACCGAGTCTAGCTAACATCTCCCACTTGACCAAATTAACCAAGTGACATGCCTCCCACTATCCGTGAGATCGGATGTTTCTGCTTACCATTACTCCCACTATCCGTAGAGAGTAACTCTTATTTCATTATTCATGAAATTTTACTTGGACTTATTTATTCCTAAGTCCCATCAAACTTACATGTTTGATAAAAGATTCTGCTGGTATTCCTTTTGTTAAAGGATCAGCAATCATATCTGTAGTAGGGATATAAGTCACTTTGACTTCTCCTTTTTCTACAATATCTCGAATATAGTGATACTGGATCTCAATATGTTTTCCTTTGGAGCTATTCGCGCCACTATTGATTAAGCTAATTGCCGCTTGATTATCACAATAAACATCAATAGGTCCCTCTAACAAATTGAGATCAAGATCAATCAAAAACCGTCTTATCCAGACAGCATGTGTAGTTGCCATACTACAAGCTATATATTCAGCTTCTTGAGTATATCTAGCAACACACCCTTGTTTCTTGCTACTCCAAGAAACAGCTCCTCCTCCAAAGATAAATAAGTGTCCCGAAGTGGACTTTCCATCATCTTTATCACCTCCGAAATCAGCATCGGAATAACCGAGGAGTTCAAGCGAATCAGCTTGATAAACTAATCTATGAGTCAATGTACCTCTGATATACTTCATAATCCTTTTAACAGCTTCCCAATGTGCTGGTCCTGGATTACTTTGATATCTACTGACTAGACTCACAGCATAAGCTATATCAGGTCTGGTGCACAACATTGCATACATCAAGCTTCCAATTGCTTGAGCATAAGGAACATCTAATGGCTTCTGCCCCTCTCCAGGGCTTTGCTCTTTACATAATCTCTTTCCCATAACCAACGGAGTTGGTGCCGGATTGGAATTCTCCATTCCAAACCTTTTAAGAACTGATCTTAAATATTTTTCTTGGTTTAAACTTAGCATTCTAGACTTTCTATCTCGAATTATTTGAATTCCAAGAATATATGATGCATCTCCCATGTCTTTCATCTCAAACTTTTCGCTGAGATCTGCCTTGGTTTTATTCAACATTTCTATGTCATTTCCAGCGAGCAATATATCATCCACATATAAGGATAATATAGTAAACTTGCTCCCACTTTTCAAGACATATACACAATTATCTAATTTATTTTGAATAAAACCAAGTTTAGTAACTGCATCATGAAATTTGAGATACCATTGTCTAGAAGACTGTTTTAAACCATATAGAGATTTCATTAATTTGTAAACTTTATGTTCCTGTTCTTTCACCTGAAAACCTTCAGGTTGTTGCATATATATTGCTTCCTTCAACTCTCCGTTAAGGAATGCAGTTTTAACATCCATTTGGAATAACTCCAAATCAAGATATGCAACAATAGCCAAAATAATTCTAATGGATGCAAATTTAGCTACAGGAGAATACGTCTCCTGAAAATCTATTCCTGCCTTCTGGTTATAACCTTTGGCAACTAACCGTGCTTTGAATTTATCAATAGATCCATCAACACGATATTTCTTTTTGAGCACCCATTTGCATCCTATGGCTTTCCTATTTTCTGGTAGATCACATAACTCCCATACCTTATTCTTTTCTATGGAATCAAGTTCTTCTCTCATAGATTCTAGCCATGAAGCTGATTCATGCGATTTCATCGCATCAGAAAAAGTTAAGGGATCTTGTTCTTCTATATTTGTATCTACCGAAAAACAGGATGACTCACATGAATACAAATAGTAATCATCCATCCATGAAGGTTGTGTTCTTGGTCTTTTGTTGCCTACAACCGGTTGATTAGGTACATTATTTTCCATAGGTATTTCATCATTTTCAAGGTTAGGTTCATTCACAATATCAGGGTCATTAGTGGGAACAACACTGTAATAATCATCATCTATTACACGACCCTCGCGTCGTCAAGCCATAGCGACCCTCGCGTCGTCAACCAACAGCGACCCTCGCGTCGACAATGCACAAGCCAAACGTGAGCGACCCTCGCGTTCAATGGTGTTCAACCAACAGCGACCCTCGCGTCGTCAATGCACAAGCCAAACGTGAGCGACCCTCGCGTTCAATGGTGTTCAGCTAACACCCAACTTCGCGTCTCAATTCAAAGAACACGAAGTTGAGGTTCTGAACGCCAGATTGGGCGTTTGACTCACTCAAACATAAGTCGAACGGTTCCAAAACCGTTTATCCCACGTTCTGAGGGATTTTCGCCCACGTAGGAGCGGATATAGGGGTCAGTTACAACCTCTTATCCCCCTATAAAAGCTCAACGAACTCAACTGAGTTACGGGTTGGATTTTTGGCATCTGAACCACACAGGTTGGATTCAAAAGATCTAAACCATACAGGTTGGAGATTTTCAGTTCTAAAACAAACTCGACAGAGTTAAAGGATCGGGATTTTTGATAATCAGATCAAGGGTTGGATTCTTCATCATCAAAACCACTCAGGTTTGGAGATTCGGCAACAACAGCAACGAAATCCTTGGAGATAGGATTTTTGAACCAACCTCAGAAAATCAAATCTGAGAGAATCCTTCAACAACAGAAAAACAGCTTGATTATTAACCGAATTTTCGGTTCCAACAACTCTATTCACAGAGTTCAAACTCGTTCAGAGTTCTTAAACTCATTCAGAGTTATTCATAAAACTTTCCACGAAAGTTCATCGTTCCCACGAGATAAAGACGGTCGGATCGTCAACGGAGAGCAAGTTCGACGCAATCAATCGAAGGAAGCACTCCATCGCTGCCAAGAAGAACCCAGTTTTAAACAAAGGGGAAAATCAAATTCGTTTTCCTCTCTTTTGTAATCAAGTTGTAACCGAGATCAAAGGAATCAAAGTCACATTTTCTTTATTCTCTTCTTTACAATTTTTCCAACATACAAAAGATGGCGACTCTGCTGGGGACTAGCTTTTCCGACGATGAAGTGGTGGCTCAGTCCGACGTCCACCTCTTGGGAACGACTGTAGAAACTCTCGTCGTAGAGTTTGATCAGGCGAAATACGAGGAAGCCCTATCCTCTGGATCGCTTAGCCCCAAGGCTAAGCATGGTGTCCGCAAGATCTCCAAGGAGATCAATTCTGTTGTTGAAGAGCCGAAGAAAGCCCTCTCCTTCGGCCAGGAACTCAAATTGGCTCTGCTGGCTGAAAAGCCCACGTCCGCGTCAGCACAGCGTGCTTCGGGCCACAAACGGCCTCTGGAAGAGACGAGTTCCATAAACGTCAACGACGTTGCTGCTAAGGCTTTGAAACAAGCCAAAAAGAACGCCGCTCGCCGACGGAGAAGATCCATCCGACGAGCACACCTACGAGAAAGCCGATTGTTGGCCCAACGCGAAGATCGCGTTTCTAAAGATCCAACCGAACTTGGCGTCCCCAAAGAAGAACGCTCACTGCGTGGTAATGAGCCCAACTATCAGCCTAGGCTGATACAGCTCAAACGCGACCCTGAGTGGCGCGTTGTTCACTCAAAACGCAGCCCTCAGAATGGAGCTGCCAAAACCAAACGCGACCCTCATAGGCGCGTTCCAATTGAACATGACTCTCAGGAGTCTGTTTCACAAATTAAACGCGACCCTCAGGTGCGCGTTCAAACGAAGCATGACTCTCAGGAGTCTGTTTCACCAACCAAACGCGACCCTCAGGGGCGCGTTCAACCAAAACTTGACCTTCAGAGGTCAGGTTCATCATTTAAACATGACTCTCAGGAGTCTGTTTCACCAACCAAACGCGACCCTCAGGGGCGCGTTCAACCAAAACTTGACCTTCAGAGGTCAGGTTCATCATTTAAACGCAGGCCTCGGCCTAGTGTTTACAACTCTCAACGAGAGGTCAGGTTCATCATTTAAACGCAGGCCTCGGCCTAGTGTTTTCAAACGCGACCCTCGCGTTACTTCTCAAGAACGCGATCTTCAAGAGGTCCGTCAGGTTCAAAAAAGTCAGCGTGGCTTTAAAATTCACGTTCGACAAGAACCAATCTCACCTACCCAAGGGCAGGGGGTTCCAACTCCACCTCCAAGTCCGGGGAAAGTTTCCTCCCAAGTTCCTGATCTGCGGGAATTATTGTCAAGAGGAAAATCAACAGTGCAAGCAGCTCACTCATGTCAATGTGAGAGGCTCATCTCTGCAGTCCTGTCAGAATGCCCTTGTTGTGCATCCACACCTCGGCAGTCCGTATTTGACAGGTTGACACACGTCGTTAGACCTGCCAAACGACAACGCCGCAACAAAAAGAAGACAGTTGAAGCGGAATACCCTCAGGTCACTATCAACATGATCGGCCGAGGGAAAGCTTTGCCTACTGATTCCGATGAGTCACAAGAGAGTCATCACTCGACTGTCAGAGAAATTTGTGACCAGTTCGAAGGAGTATATCAGAATACTCGGACTCGAACAGGAGCTATTCGCCCGGTTGACTATTAAAAGTTAGCCAAAGGCATTACAACAAGTGAAGAACATTCAGCAATAGCTGAATCTCAATCGTCAAGTTCTGTTGGAGCACGCGAGGTCTCCGCTTACATGTCAGGGAATCACGAAGACATCGCCAAAAGAGTGGACGAACATCATGTCATGCTCCAGGCGCAACAAGAGACACTTCTCCAATTAAAGGATATGCTGGCTCAGCTTCTTGCTGAAAAAGGCCACAAACCTGAATCTTCCCGGAGAACAACTTCAAAGGGAAAACAAAAAGTGCACGAACATTCAGATCGTGAGACTCACAATCTGGGATCCTCTTCCGAGGGTGAGAGGGAGATCGAGAAAGAACTGCACCCTCAATCTACTAAGGTGGATGAGCTGGAGGCTCGCCTTAACGCAATCGCCAACCGAAGCGAGCTCCGGGAAGAGGGAGTTGTGCGGCCTTACCCTGCTGAGTGGGATACAGCTCCCTACCCACCGAAGTTTAAGGCCCCTACCTTACAACCGTTCGATGGTACAGGATCGCCAAATCAGCACATTTACTACTTCAAGTCCCAAACTGGGGATGTAGTAGCAAACGACGCCATCCTGACCAGGCTGTTCATCGGTACCCTTAAGGGTGTCGCCTTCGAATGGTTCATGAAATTGCCTGCCGGATCTATTCAGAAATGGGTAGACCTGGAAAGGCTATTCTTGGCCAGATTCTTTGAGGACGACACGGAGGTCTCGGTCCCAACTCTTC